TTTTACTTAGTCTTATGTTTTCTGCATTCCCAGCTGCTTAGATCCTGCCTGTGATCCGATTGAAGTTTGGGTGGTACCTGGCCTCGAAAGACCCCTGTGTCCCAAGGGAGTTGTGAGGGGTCCTTCTTTGTCTTCACTTCATAGCACAGCCAGCTGTAGGGCCGACCAGGGAGGACGGGTTCATTTACAAAGTTGTAGTCGAATGCACGTCGATATATCCGCTTCATGGGATTTCTGAAGGCACAAGAGAGAAAGGGCCCATGCACAGAGCGCTCCCCGGAGTCTCGGGGCTGATGTCCACTCAACACAGCTCCTGGACAGCCCTGGGCCTCCCCCATCCCTCCACGGCCCTGAGAGTTTCTGCCACCTTCCCAGGCAGGAAGACTGAGGACACAGGAAGAGGAGATGATGGTGGCAGGGGCAGCAGGGCCGGGTGACCTCTCCCCACTCAGGCCCCAGGGCTGGTCTTTCCAGGGGTACGTTCCCCACCCCCCAGTATTTCTGCCCACCCACTCCCAACCCATTAGGAAAATGCAAAGGAGAATAAAACGCCTCACCCCCAAATAAAAGCTTTTAATCTTTCAGCTCAATTCCTTCCTGACGCTTCCCCTCTGCACGTTAACATTATTTATATTTGTATTTTATTTTATTTTATTTTGAGACAGAGTTTCCCTGTTGTTGCCCAGGCTGGAGTGCAGTGGCATGATCTGGGCTCACCACAACCTCGGCCTTCCAGGTTCAAGTGATTCTCCTGCCTCAGCCTCCCAAGTAGCTGGAATTACAGGTATGCGCCGCCATGCCCAGCTAATCTTATATTTTTAGTAGAGACGGGGTTTCTCCATGTTGGTCAGGTTGGTCTCCAACTCCTGACCTCAGGTGATCTGCCCACCACAGCCTCCCAAAGTGCTGGGATTATAGGCGTGAGCCACTGTGTCGGGCTAACATTATTTTTAAATCATGCTAGAACCGAATTCCAAGGCCCAGGCCACTCTTCTAAGTGCTGTGAGGTTCTGAGCTCGTGTGATGCTGACCTGGGCCTGCAGGGGCCATTCCAATCTTACAGAGGAGATGCCAGAGGCGCAGAGAGGCAGGGTAACCTGCCCAGGACACGGAGCTGGGCAGAGGGAGCTGGGGCCCCTTTCCAGGCCAGCCCTGTCCAGCCTCTGCAGCATGGGCCCTGCAGGAGGGAGCCATTGAGGACCGGCTCTCTGTTCATTCAATCTTAAGAGCATTTTTCCTGATCATTGCGTTTTTTCTCACATTTCGTGTTACTGGTCATGTTCTACAAGATGAAGAGTGACCTTGGACTGGAACCTATGTGTGAGGACCTCTGCTCAGTGTGGAGTCATCCTTGGGTGACATGCTTTATCTTGTGCTTAAGAGTCCATTTCCTACCCCACACCCTCTCCTAAGACTTTGTATTTAAGCAAAGTCAATCTTACAGAAAACCCACCAAAGCCCTGTGAACAAAATGCCCGATTGCTCCCATCATCGCTTGGTTCAATTCTCCTGGTTCCAGAGCTGAGGAATGGGGGGAAGCACGCAGAGGGAGCACTCTCCCAGGGCAGGGAGCACCAGCCTGGCCATGACTTTCAGGGGACAGTCTCAGCATGAGGCCTGGGCTGGGGCTGGCAGGGGAGGCGTCCCATTAAGAAACAGCAGTGAGGCTACCACACAGCAGAGCAAAGAGCGTGGCTAGGAGTATGGGAAGCAGAGGAGCCAGAGGGGAGGGAACCCAGGGCTGGGGATGGGGCAGGGGCAGGGAGAGGCCAGGGTGGAGTCCCTGCAGGGCCACCAGGCAGGAAGGGGCAGCGGTACCTGATCTGTGGATTCATGCTCAGCCTCTTTGTTAGATGTGTCCGAGTCCCCCTCTTTTTCTGAAGCGCTGTGGTTTCACTTCCTGCTTGTAGTGTCTTACAGCTGAACAGCCCTCCTTAAAGTGACCTCCCAGGGCCTCATGAGTCATGGCCCCTCTCCATTCCTGCTCAGGCACTGCTGTGGGAGGCCCTGGGGCGCTTTATCTTTCTCTGGCTCTGGCCCTCCTTCTGGTTTTCTCCAGGTCCTTCCCCCTGGCAGAAGAACCTCTCATAAAAACAGGTTGCTCTGTCTTTATCTGTCTTGGGCAGGACCCAAGGGAATTGCCAAGAGAAAGAGAAAGGCATTGCAGCCAGAGCCCGGGAGGCAAGTCCAGACCAGTCTCAGACAGAGGCAGGTGCCCCCTTGTCTGGTGGATGGGCAGGCTGGAATCCCCTCTCCACCACCGCCTCCCCAGCCCTAATGTCTGCACAGAGCTTGGAGCAGCACCTCCCCATTGAGTGAGGGGAGGTTTTGAGACTCCAGTGGTGAAGGAAGCATGGACTCCGAACAGCAGAAACGAAGGCTTAGCTGCTCCTCTAGTCCCCAGCTGTGTGCTGGCTCTGTTACAGGTGTCTCCTCTTCCAACCTCCCAGCTTCTAGAGGGTGGGGGGCAGGTCAGCCCCTCAGAAGGACTGTGATGTCTGTGACATCAAGGAGGGGAGGGGATGTTTACAAGCAGGCTCACTGCCCACAGGGACTTCCCAAGAGGTTTCCTGTGGACCAAGAACATGCAAAACACACACAAACACACACACACACACACACACACAGCTTTCTGGTTTCTTAAGTCCATCTAACCATATTTTGAAGGAATGCATGGACATTGCATCCTTGAAATAATCTTCCTAAGAGATTCCCTTAAGGGGAGTTTGTTCCAGTTGGAGACGCTGTGCTCTCTGTAGAGGCTCTGAACTCCTCTACAGCCTGCAGGCAGAGAGGGAGGAGGCTGCATGGGTGTTGGGGGTGCAGCAGCACCCCTACCTGCACAGAAGCTTGTCCTGGGGATGGTTTTTGGAAGGTGAACGTTTCTGTTGCCATCAGAAACAGATGGACAAGCTGAGTGCAGTGGCTCACACCTGTAATCCCAGCACTTTGGGAGGCCAAGGCGGCAGATCACCTGAGGCTGGGAGTTTGGGACCATCCTGACCAATATGGTGAAACCTCGTCTCTACTAAAAATACAAAATTATCTGGACATGGTGGCACCTGCCTGTAATCCCAGCTATTCAGGAGACTGAGGCAGGAGAATCACTTGAACCTGGGAGGCAGAGGTTGCAGCGAGCCAAGATCGAGACATTGTACTCCAGCCTGGGCAACAAGACCAAAATTTTAGCTCCAAAAACAAAACAAAAAAAAGAAACGATGGACAGAGGAGAAGAGCATCCATGTTACATAAGCAGTTCCGTTAACCAGGAACACACTTTCTAGAAGAAAGTATAATACTGGTGCTAGAACAGGGAGGCCTCACACCCAGCTCTAAGGCGGCGGTCAAGCCACAGTGGGGCAGGGACACAGCTCTGCAGCCAGGTGACTCCGAGATCTGCCCCTTCCTTACTGCGTGACCCTGATGTCTCTGGGCCTGTAATATTCCTCCTCTGTAAATGGACCACCCAGCTTATAGGATTATGGGGAAGATAAAAATGTGAAACTTTACGTAAAGAACTCAGCACAGTACCCAGAGTGTTAATAGAATGGAAGAAATGATGGTTATTATCATTAATCACACTACATTTTATTTATTTACTTCTATTTAATTAATTTATTTATTTTGAGAGGGAGTCTTGCTCTGTCACCTAGGCTGGGGTATAATGGCACCATCTCGGCTCACTGCGACCTCAGCCTGTGGAGTTCAAGGAATTCTCCTGCCTCATCCTCCCGAGTAGCTGACACTGTAGGCGTGAACCACCACACCCGATTAACTTTTTTTGTATTTTCAGTAGACACAGGGTTTCACCACGTTGGCCAGGTTGGCCTCAAACTCCTGACCTCAAGTGATCCTCTCACCTCGGCCTCCCAAGGTGCTGGGATTACAGACATGAGCCACTGCACCCAACCTGTGTTGACTTTAATAAGATTTGGTTTTCCTGGGGAGATGCGAAGAGCCAGGTTGGGGGCGCCAGGCTGGGGAATGGGTTCTAAGGGGGTGGATGGAGATAGCCATGGAGGCAGAAAGGGGCCTCTGCAGGAGAAGCCCGGGAGAGTGGGGAGGAGGCGGTGAGGCAGGGAGCACTGTGGAATGGGCCTGAGGGCAGGAGGAGCTGAGGATGATCCGGCAACAGCAAAGCTGGTCCAGGATGGGTTGGAGGCCCTCACGGGAAGAGCAGGAGGCTAGAGCAGCCAGACCGGGAGGCCCGGGGAGGCCCTTCACTGCAGAATCTCCTGCAGTGTGATGTACAGGGATAGAGAGTTGTCTTGTAGTCTCTTCCAAGGCTTGAATGGCTGACCATCATTGTACACAAAGTTATCCCAACAATATTCAAAATCTGAGAAGAAAAAACAGGAGAAAGCAGTGAGGGCCCAGCAGGCCTCTCTCCCGGGCCCTGGGTCCTCCCCTCCCAGGCCAGGTCTCCTGGCTGCCACTTGCAGTCAGCACCAGCCTGTCCCCACAGGTTCCTCAGGGACACTGCCTCGCCCCACGCCATTGCAGACCCACCTGTCCCTCATGCCATCCCCTGCCACCCGCTCTCCTCAGCCCTGTACATCTCACATTCATAGCCCATGATCAGCACGGAGGCCCCTTCCTGACTCAGCCTGCGGATCCCCTGCCGGAAATCTGGATTCCAGAAGTAGTAGAGGCGGGCAGTGAAGATGGTGAGCCTCACGTTTCTGTGCCTGGCCAGGAACTCGGCCACCTGCCCTGCACACTCTGGGCAAGGGCTCCAAGAGGCATACCAGGTGACCTCGTAGTCCTTCTTAGGAGACAGCATGTTGTGGCGGAACCAAGAGAGGAAGCACATTTCTGCATGACAGGAAGGATCAGGACCCACCTAGAGAAGGAGGAGGAGGGGGTGGGGAGAGCTCAGACCAGGAGCAGGAGGAGTGCAGGGGTCGGGCGATGGGAGAACAGGGCAGGCCAGGAGCCCCAAGACATTTCCTTCTTGATGTATTTTGAGACAGGGTCTCTCTCTGTTGCCCAGGCTGGGGTGCAGTGGTGAGATCTGGGCTCAGTGCAGCCTTGACCTCCCAGGCACAAGGAATCTTCCCACCTCAGCGTCCTGATTAGCTGGGGGTGCAGTTGCGTGCCACCACCCCTGGCTTATTTTTTTTGTGGAGACGGGGTTTTGCCATGTTGCCCAGGCTGATCTAGAACTCTTGGGCTCGAGCAATCCTCCTGCCTCAGCCTCCCAAAGATCTAGGACAATGAGTGTAAACCACCATTCATGGCTTTATTTTATTTACTTATTTTAATTTTTAAGGGTACATAGTAGGTGCCAGGATGTTTTATTGACTGACTTTTTCCTCTTCCATCCTTCTCCTTCCTTTAATTATTTTTATTTTTATTTTTTCCCAAGACAGAGTCTTGCTCTGTCACTGAGGCTAGAGGGCAGTGGTGCAATCTTGGCTCATTGCAAACTCTACCTCCTTGGTTCAAGCGATTCTCCGGCCTCAGCCTTCCTGAGTAGCTGGGATTATGGGCCCTCGCTACCACGCCCAGCTAATTTTTGTATTTTTAGTAGAGACGGGGTTTCACCCTGTTGGCCAGGCTGGTCTCAAACTCCTGACCTCAGGTAGTCCACCCACCTAGGCCTCTCAAAGGGCTGGGATTACAGGCTTCAGCCACCTCGCCTGGTCCCCTTGTTCTTTATTTGATTGAGTCTTTCCCTGTCTCATCATGGCCTCAATGGAGAATGGCATCCATTCTCCCAGGCATCCATTCATGAGGCATCCTCAGCCCCTGCTGTGGTCTGGCTCTCTGGGGTCTGCCTTTGTCCCTGCCTGCCTTTTGCTGGGGAGGCCACTGGACCAGCATTGCCCCATGGAGTTCAAGGTTGACCACGGGGGCTACCGAGTACCTAAAATGGGGCTCTGATTAGAGATCCTGACATATCTCAGAATAAAATGAACTTTCACCTCTCTGGTGAGGAATTTTATATTAATTATATGCTGAAATTGTATGTGAAAGATTTGAGCTAAGGCAGACATTAAAATTACTTTTGCCAGTTCTTGTTGCTTTTTGAGCATGTGGGGACTAGAACCCCTTCAATCCTGAGTCCTGGGTGTTTCCATGGCCAGCACCACCGTCAGCCAGGCCTGCCCAGCACACGGACGACTCCCTCCCCAAACACACTGTGGAAAGTCTCCTGCCTGGGTGGAGGAGGCCGAAGGGGTGGGTGGGACATGACAGGGTGGGGTGATGGTCAGTGACCCATTGTGGGCAGCAGGGTGAGGAGTGAGGTTCACCATCCTGTGATGATGTGTCCTTGACATCCAGGAATCAGGGCAGTGGCGGGGGCGGCCACACCAGCCCAGCAGTGACTGACCCAGACACCACGCTGGACACCCCACACCCCGCATCCCACAGCTGCTGTTTCCCGAGGACTGCTGGATGCACAGCTCCATGACAAGATTTTGGGAAACAAAGTCAAGAATCAGGGTGCTGGGCTCCAAACAAGGCCTTTGTGAAGAGGAAAACCCCCTCCACGATCGGATCCCTGGAGAGTCAGGCAGGAAGATCTGGGCCAGGGACTTAAAAAATGTGGGAGGAGGTTAGGTGCAGTTGCTCCTGCCTGTAATCCCAGCACTTTAGGGCCGAGGGGGGAGGATCACGAGGTCAGAAGTTTTCCAGTCTGGCCAACATGGTGAAACCCCGTCTCTACTAAAATACAAAAGAATTAGCTGGGCGTGGTGACAGGCGCCTGTAATTCCAGCTACTCAGGAGGCTGAGGCAGTAGAATTGCTTGAACCCAGGAGGTGGAGGTCGCAGTGAGCTGAGGTCATGCCACTGCACTGTAGCCTGGGCGACTCCGTCTCAAAAAACAAAGAAAAAGAAAATGTGGGAGAAAAGTACACGCTGGAGAGCCCGCGCCAGGCATGCCGCTTGTTGTGTTTTCTGCATGCCCAGCTGCTTAGCTTCATTTTGGGGGTGTAACTAGGACTTTGGTGCTACCTGGTTTCGGAAGATGCCACTCTTCCAGGAGACAGTTGAACGGTTCATTATACCTTCCACTGTGAAGCACAGCCAGGTTTCGTTCCGACCGTAGGCTTTCCGTAGGTTTCTAAAGTGGAAGTTGAATATGCCTGGATACATAGCATTCATCGGGTGTCTGAAGGCACAAGAGAGAAACATGCCAATGTGGAGCGGCCCCGGGTCCTCGGGGCTGATGGCCACTGAACCCCACTCCCTGGACAGCCCTTGGCTCTGGGCCTCCCACATCCCTGCACAGCCCTGAGCATGTCTGCCCCTTTCCCAGTCAGGAAGACAGGGAGAGAGAAAGAGGAGGGGATGCTGGCAGGGGCAGCCAGGTGACCTCTCCTAGCTGGAACCCCAGCTCTGGACCTGCCAGTGGGCCACCCTCCACCTCCCAGTTTTTCTGCCACACATCTCCCAACCCATTAGGAAAATGCAACAGAGAATAAAACTCTCCACCCTAAAATAATTGCTTGAACATTTCAGCTCAGTCCCTTCCTCACATTTCATCTGTCTGATGACAACGATGATTCTTTTTCTTTGGGATCACACTGAATTCCCAGGCCCAGGCTACTCTACTCTCCTTTTTTTTTTTTTTTTTTTTTTTTTTTTTTTTTTTTTTT